CTTGAGAATGTCAGGGCTGCAGTGCATGTATTAAAGCCACAGAACAATGATATTGCTACCATAACATTAACCAGTGGCATTTTAAATCCTCAGGATTAGCATTCTAGCTATGGCTGTGTTGTTTTCTTGCAGTCAAAAGTCTTGTGTTTGGCTGTGATCAGATAACAACTGTGGAATCACAAACAGACATATTGGCTAATTAATGCTAAGGTAAAAGACCAAAATAATACTAGAATTTTCTGTGCCTGCTGCCCTCCCCTGGGGGTACCGCAAGGCTATGTTCTTGGACCTTTCCTTTTCTCTTTGTATCTGCTGCCACTTGGCAATATTTTCTGGAAACATGCCATTTCCTTTCATTGTTACGTGGACAATTGTCAAGTTTATTTTCCACTGAAGCATACTGGTGTGTTCTTGGACCATCGCTTTGATTTTAAGCATTCCTGCCAAAAGATTACTGCTAAGTCAATCAATCAGAAAATTACTGGTTCTGTTGTTTGTTTTGTTCTTCCTCAACTGGAATGAAAAACGTTTTATTGTTTTTCAAAAGTTGACATTTGAAAATGTCAACTTTTCTTTGAAAATGCACAGTATTCTATAGATTAAATTGTCAATTGAATAATCCTAAAAGGAATTAAGCGAGCTAATCAAATATGACAACTGAAATTATTCATTAGCTGCAGCCTGACACTTGTGTGAGATAATAAGCATGCTGTGTGTAAATGAATCCATTATTTCCTGCACTTAGATTAGGCAAATTGTCACAGAGAAAGTAATAAGAAGGGACAAGAGACACAGCATTAAAGAGGACATGACCTTATTGTCCTTTTTTTTAAGCCCAAAGAATGACACAGAGGAGAAGACAGTTCTGAAACAAACAAAGCAGCAACATCTGGAGAGCATCCAGAGATTTAGTAATCCTGTTTACAGCCTAAGGCTCTGAAGCTGTTCATCACTTGAATCCTGATCCATGCTGATCATAACCCAAAAACACTGAGGAGGGGAGGGAAACATCAGACACTGCTGCTGCTGGTCAGTCCCCAGGTGTGACTGTCTGAGAAGCAGGTTGATAAAAGCCTCCATTGTTGCTGCAGATGAAGGGAAACAGGCTGTAAAATTTAAAAACACGCCGCACAGCTGAAAGATTTAGAGCACTGCCCCTTTAATGTTTGTCCTTTGCATGACACAATATTGCCCCTCTGGGCCGCCACAGCCGTTTCTGATCCAACAGATTTGATTCTTAGTTTGGTTTTCATAAACGTATCCAGACACTTGGACCAAAACAAAAAAGAATCTTTTATCAACTTCAGCCCACATCTTTGTTTCCAGATGTTTCAGCCATAAAATCTTACATCAAAATTTAGATTTTGACCAATTCAGCTCCCTGTTGTATCATTTTCAGTTGTTTATTTGTCATTTTATTTATTTATTTCATTGGCTAAAATGTCTGCTGTTTTCAGCTGGTAAGAAATGCTTAGGTGGATACAAACCCTTACATTCCCAAACAGCACACTCATGCACTTTTGGATTTTGTCTCAACCATACTTCATATTTGCAACTGTAAAAATACAATATAATAAATGAGATTTAAACTCATTGCAATAGTACATATCAAAGGACCCGATTCATAGTGGGGAGCTAAAAGAGACTTTTCTTGCTTTCTTGCATGGAGCAAACTACAATGACCAAATTACAGGTGTCGTGCTAAATGCAGATGCAGAAAATGTTAGTTTTACAATCCTAACTATCGGTTATTTAGGTGTTTACTTAAAAGGTACTGCCTCCATTACAGAAAGGTGAAAATTATTCCCTTTTAAGAGGAAGTACCAGGCTCACTGAAGGGCTCTTAGGGGTTTGGGACAGGACAGGACAAAAGACACACTGTGGAAGGAAGCCAGAGATTGATAGTAACTAATCATTAAATACAGAGTGATGAAAAGAGAAACACTCAGTGCACCATCAGGCCTATGACTAAGGGAGGGGTCAGGGTCACCTGATCCAGCCCTAACTATCCAATTGTTAAGTGATGACGTGACGAATCCTACTTCCGGGTCTAAAGTAGTCTGCGTTTAATATGGCTTTTGTGTTGTTAACATGTTTAATGTTATGTATTTTCTTCTATTTAATCTCAAAAA